TATAATAGATATTGATGCTGTAAGAGATATTTTAATGACGCAGCTCCTAACATCTCTAGGATGATTTACGTAAGGACTTCCGTTTCATGGAATTCAACAATGTGGTGAATCGCTACCTAAGAAAGGATCCCGAGTCGAGACAGCGGGGATTACACATAAGGACATACGTAAGTTATTGATATGGCCTGAATTGTAACACATGCATTTAAGTGACGAGAGTATTTCTCACATAAACTTCATTGTTATTAAGGGCAAAATAGTATCACCTCCATTTTTAATAATCTCTTGGTTTCATGTTGTATCGCTCAGTTAAGTTTTGAAATGTTAGTCGTGTAATATGATCTATTTCTTGTCACTGTCAGGGCAACTATACTGTATGTGTGTGTGTGTGTGGATCTAATTCCCTAGAAGGATGAATATATATAACTATTGATTTGCCATCTGGAAAAATAAAATTTTGTGTCATGTTTGAACCTCCCTCTTGTAACTCTGAACAAACTTAAAAACTAACTGCTCTATCAAGTGGTTGGGATGCTGCAATGTCACAAGAGTATTTATATTTATGTATCATTGGTCTAGCGGTTAGAACGCTGGCCTTGTAATCCTGGGGTCTCGGGTTCAATTCCCGGCGGTGCCCGAATTTATAACTTGTGTTGGGCAAGGCCGTGGTCTAGGCAACACGGAGTTTTCCTCCGTGGCATCCCAACAATTACTCCATTCACACACAGAAGAAGGCAATGGCAAACCACTTCTGGATCATCTGCCAAGAACGTATATGAACAGGTCCCAGTCCGAGAAAAGGATGGAAGGATCCTGTTCATTTGGACCTGTCGTCAGACAGAACACTACAAATAATAAAAGCATTGCTGATCTGTGTCATATTTAATTTCAGCATGTTGTCCCACTGAATGAAGAATGTGGTATTGTTGAGTGGGTCCCCAAGCTGGTGGCTTACCGTAACATAATCATAAGACTGTACAAGGAGGCTGGAAATTACACAAATAATAAGCAGCTGAAAGAGCTGTCAAGTAGTGAGTAGATCAACATGTTACATTAGAGCCGGTCTTCTTCTAGAACTGTGTGATAGCAGATCCTTTCTGCTGTGGTTCTGAATTCGAGGTATTTACACAGAAATGTATGTACCATTTTGATGTTCGTAGAGTTGATGCAAAATAACTCCAAGCTTGGTCTATTTTACAGTAAGAGGTGAAGGGAAGATGGAAAGGGCAGGGGGGAGAAAGATGTCGGCGAGTCTGTCCGAACATGTGTAGTGTAACTGAAAACATCTCCAATTTCGTATGATCTGAAGCTTTCACGGTAAACAAGTGTAATGAATTCTTCTTGGGCAGAGTACCCTGAAGACAACGATGTAGATGGTTCTCGAAATGGTGTTTTCTCCATTAACCCTTCAGCGTGGGAGCATTTAAATCCCAAGTCTATACCGTGCTGTGGGAGGAGTTTCTGCTTGGGGATTTAATTTTGAGCTTGAAAGTGCATCAATTTACTTATATGGGCACAACTTCCCTAATAATTGATGAATTTTAGTGAAACTTTGAACAAAATGTTCACAACACACTATGCTTTATAGAAAGGTAAAAAATTTACCTTAAAAGTGAGAGGTTCATGTTCTCCCATGTAAAAGCAGTAGGACGTGCCACACTCGGTAAACTGCTCCCACTTTGTTCACCGTCATTGTATTCATTTTCAGATTCGTCACATAAAATCGATCTGTCAGAGTCATGTTATATATCAATCGATAGCCAGCATTTTTCTCAACATGGCTACTGGATCCAGAATACATAAAATACAAGGTCAGTCGCTACGAAGAAGGAGAAGTCTTAGCGTGCATTATGCGAGCAGTGCTCGGCACTCCACGCCATGGGATGACTACGTCATGACGAGCGATGTTCGGCACTCCACGCTGAAGGGTTAAACCACCTGACTTGGCTGGTAGTCGAGAGGAATTCATTATTTCTAATTTTGACACATTTGGTGGCATTTCGATACACTGACTTATATACTATACTGTATTTTGTTAACGAAAGGAACTTCAAAACACTGGCAATGCAGGCACGTGCCTTAATTTCTATGTACTACTTCTGCAGCCTGAGCAAAACAATTCCGCATCTAATAATATACAAAGTAAGCATTGAGCTATCGCTCCATGTATGCTGTCGCTTTGCAGGTTTTCTCTCCTGCCCACATGTAAGGTTTTGTGCTGAAAACGGTAGGGATGGTTGTGAATCTTATTAATTCAAAAGATTGTGATATTATGCTAACCTGAGGTATTAAATGTGGATTTCATTAATGGTTTTGAAAAGTTGCTGTCATGATGTACAATGAGAATGGTAAGCAAATTAGACTCCCATGGAAAGTGGGGTAATATTTAAGTGGTATACTTCAGTTCATTTCATGTCGCAACTTACCATGTGTAATGGCGGAGAATAAGAAAGCAGTTAGAAATGTTTGGCGTAATCCAAGGAAACCAACACATAAGGGGTGGAATGCCATCTCAGTTCAAGCTGTTCCATCGTGCTTCCTTCCTGCTTTCATACGATGCTTTTAGGGTCTTTTGTGATTGCCTCTCAGATGTGTGCCTTACGTCTGTTACAGACTTATCAGACTCCCATTCTGCAAAGCGAGAGAAGTTTGAACGATTCTTAATTCCAAAACATCCACCAGTATTTGATGAGTGGTTCAGGTCCACATTTCCAGAACCTTATGCTTGGTGAGTGATTTTTTTTAACATTCAGAAGATAAGGAAATAGATCTGATTAGGCAGTTCAGTAGCAGAATCATTCGTGTGAAATGTACAGTAGGCTTGGTAGCAAAAAATTGAAATGTCGGACTAAGCAGCATTTTTCCCAAACTTCATGCAAAGCTAGGATTTCAGGTACTTCTGATGGCAATTATGAAGATGACTTGTCTTCTGCGTTGTACTGTCTGGTAGATATTGATGTTTCAGAGATCCTTGCTGCCTCCATCATCAGTACGATGACTAAACTTCTACCAGACTACATGGCGCTACGACCCAGAATTCAAGCTATCTTGCTAAGCTGTAGGTCGACCTGTTAATTTGAGGAAGTGTGAGAAGTAGTACATGCATTTTTTATTGTTGTTGAATGCCACTGCAGTGTTGTGTTACTGATCACATAATGTGATACAGGGCACGCTGGATTCTCGTTATGTATCTCCCGTAACTGCTGCTGTGCTTGGTGAGCATCGCACAGAAAGGGAACCGCACGTCATGTGATGTCGTTCTTGCAGGTATCGCGCTCGCACATCGTACATTCGTACGACGGCCGTCATGTCCATGGTGGGCTACATGCTTGGACTAGGCGATCGGCATGGTGAAAATATCTTGTTTGATACAGTTAGTGGTGAAACAGTGCATGTGGATTTCAATTGCATTTTTAATAAGGTATGCCAACATTTTTAACATAGTGTCATTTATATTAATGTCAGAATGAAACTATGATGGTAGAACTGAAGTGTTCAGTGCTGTTAATACCAAATCCTGCTATTTGATACAGTCGTAGGTCACGTCAGTCCACACTTCTTTTCGTG